TCTCTGGTAGACAATGCCATATGTAAAAATACTCTTTGACGTGAAATTTCAGTGTTTATTATCGACTATGACGTTTCCTGACTTTCAATCATTATATTTGTATCTCTCCAGTATTAATTGCTTCAAATCTATCAGGATACACTGGTTTCCCCTTAGCCTTGAGGGATCCATTCCAGGATCCCCGGTGGATGCCTGAAATCATGGCTAGCACCGAATACCACATACACTGTGCACAGGCTACTGCTTCCTTCTTCGCAATTTCATAGATTAAGATACTGTTCTTACCCTGGATTTTAGCAACCTAAGCATACGATTTTTTTCCTTTCTTTATTGTGAAGAACTTTCACCTTTTCACTTAAGGGAAGCACTTCGTGGCTTTCCTTTGGCATTTCCAAACTGCCAGCTTCGCTACTCTTGCATTTTGGGGCCATTAGTAAGCCAAGTAAGGGTTACTGGAGCTCAGACACATCTATACCACTACAGTGGACTTGATAACCCAGGTGGCTAGTAAGTGATTGACAGGGAGCTGGTACAGACACTGTGGATACCCCGGACAAAGGGATGATTCATATCCTGGTCAGGACAGAGTGAGACAGTGTGACATTTCACCATGCTGTTCAGAACAGTGTGCAACTGCAAATGTATGGATTGCTTATTTCTGCAATTTTTCATTTATTATTTTCAGTCTGCACTTGATCACAGTTAACCGAGACCTGGGGTAACTGAAACCCCAGAACGAAACTGTGGATAAGGAGGAACTATTGTAGAGTGTAATAAAATATGAAATACAAGGAGAAAAACTCGGAGTAACCAGAAGATTGAAATATGCTTTGGAAATTTTATTCTCCTATTAGCCCCTCGAAACTGGAGACAGATCTGTAAACTGACAATTACTATACAGCGTGACTAATGCTTTAATAGCAGGATATGTGGGAATTGTGGAAACATTGCAAAAAGACACCTAATTCATCCTAGAGTTGCAGAAGAGGTTTCTTTACCAAAGGGCACTTAAGCTGAATCTTGAGGGAAGAATAACAGCTGACCAGGGGGACCCACGAGTGTGAGAGACCCAAGGATAAGCACACAGCATGAGCAAATGCAGGGAGGCCTGCCACAGTGTTTAACAAAGGGCTATGGCAAAAGAAGCGGGGGACGGATGGAAAGGGGTGAAAGGCAAGACCGGTGAATGAAACTGTGCATTAACTCAGGTGCATTAACATTGTATACCCTGATTAGAAATGGTGGGCGATTTTTAATGAGCAAATGATTTATATTCAATCCATAAGATACCAGTTTTTCCCAATTCCTACTGTGGAAAACGCACATCTGCACATTCTAGCTTGTAAAGTGCATCCGCGTTCAGAGTTATGCCTGAGCATATTCACAGAAACTCTTTGGAATTTTTATAAGTGCGTCTTTGATGTGATTTTTATGAGCAGTGTTAATTTCTTTCCACATGAATAGCTTTAATAATGCTGCAATCTAAATCCGGTTTAAATTAGTTTATATTGTTTTCTGCTTTCTCAGTGATCTTTCCACTGAATACAAAATTGAATTTACAGTTGAGTATTGAAAATGACCGCTCCCAGTATCCTCCTGTAGTCATCCAGAGGGAGCTACTGGCTTCGTCTTAATTAATATAGATTAAAGTTACTTCTCACATGGCAACAAATATTGACTGGAGTTACCAAGCATGCCTTAACTAATGTTTTTTTAATTTAATTTGAATGTCAGTATATCAATCATGTATCGCCCCGTCAGTTTCAGGAAGTTCAGAAACGGAGATGAAATTGGGAGTTTTCAAAACTATATTCCTCTTTTGGACTAATGGAATCCTGCCTCCTAGTACTTGTTAACATGTTAGAAAATCTCTTGGATACTTACTTTTGAAATCGTGTATTTGCAGTGGCTTAATCCTAAGCATATTGTTTCCTCTCTCTGAAATGATAGTCTGCTGGTGAACTTGCTGTGCTCTGGATCTAGGTGTGAAGAGCAATAAAACGCGGCTTTCAGACCCTTTGAGCAAACATACGTTTTTACAGTTTAAGTGTGTTTTTCCTGACAGTAAAGTTAGTCTGTTTATGAACTGAGCACCACAAGCAAGAGAAGGAAAAAGTACCTGTATATGAGAGAGAGATGAACAGCGTTACGCTCCCTCCCTATAAAGCTCATGACAAACGCGTTAAGGATTTTTCTTTCTCTGTGTTACGTAGACACGAAAGTCACAGCAAAGGGGAAAAAATAGTACATGAAGTCAGTGTCTCTTTTTCTGTTGTTATCTTTTAAGAGGAAAAAAAAGATTCCTTCTCAGCATTAGGTTTATTTCTACTGTCTGTTCTGAGGTCCATTCTCCTAACATATATTGGTGCGGGGAGAGGTAGAGTGTGGATGGAGGCAAAATTTATTCTGCCTGTAATGGCTGCAGTGAGCCTCTCACAACATAATGCTAAATTATGGGCCTCTCCATGGGCTGAACATAACGTTAAGTTGTGTGATGGATTTTATCTTATACAAGCCGCTTCGGTCCATGAAATGAGATAAGAAACCATTGCAGCTGGAGTTCACTGAAGGTTGAACTTAGACTGAAATTCCAAAGTTAACAAAATGATATAAGCTGGCTACAATACTCAGTAAGTGTGTTCTGTGCCTGTGGGTTGAGATTTTCAGGGAGACTTGAGTCTGTCACTCACAGGATGTTTTGTGGGCGTTCCCACGCCAGTTATCTCCTCTGGTTAAAAGTATGAGGGCAGGGGAACAGGTCTGCTCTTAAAAAAGCTTTGATCCCCAAGTCTAGAAGGCCGGCGTGCAGCAGGAGAGGGCTTAGAATGGTGGCTGAGCAGCATTCTTAGGGCACATCCCTAAAAGCTGCTTTTTTCCCTGAGGAGGGCAGAGCTCAGCTGCAGGACCTTGAATTAGGCTCAGCCCCACCTTCATTCAGGACACACACCTCCTAGGCAAACATCAGCTGCACCAAGGAAGCTGTACCCTGGTCTGGGAGGAGGTCTTCATGAGAAAAGATCCTGACGAATGTTTGTAAAGCACACTCTAAATTTACAAACACTCAATGGTGGGAGAGTTTCATATGATATGTAAAATACTAATAACAACTCAGTGGTTGGTTTAAAAAATCTGGTGAGTAAAATAAAATCATTTTCTCAAGCATGAATCTCCAGCTGCCTATTCATGTGGAGTATGCTTACATGTAAACAATACATAGAGATGTCTCTGATGCCCTCCAGTGGAGGGGCAGTGCCTGGCAAACAGTAGGCACTCAGTATTTTTAAATGCATCGGTAAGAATCTGAATCTGTCAATCTAATTTTGCTCCTGATTTTTAGAATTCAGAGTCTACCTACGTTACTTGTAAAAATGTAGGCTATTAGGCCAGGCACGGTGGCTCAGGCCTGTAATCCAGCACTTTGGGAGGCCAAGGTAGGTGGATCGCCTGAGGTCAGGAGTTCAAGACCAGCCTGACCAACATGGAGAAACCCTGTCTCTACTAAAAATATAAAAGATTAGCAGGGCATGGTGACACATGCCTATAATCCCAGCTGCTCAGGAGGCCGAGGCAGAAGAATCGCTTGAACCTGGGAGGCGGAGGTTGTGGTGAGCTGAGATTGCACCATTGCACTCCAGCCTGGGCAACAAGAGTAAGACTTCATTTCAAAAAAAAAAGTAGGATATTTTTCCCTAAAGTACATATTCTAGGGATTGCAAGAATATAAATGAAAGGCTTCTTCTCTCAGGTTTGCCTGGAAAATAGGCAGTGAGCCTTCTGCGGTAGTCAGATTGATTAATGTTGTAACAACTGACATACAACTTCCAGTTCTAATTAACTTAATCACCCACAAACTCCCTTTTTCTCCACCTCCAAGCCACACAATACAAGTTTGTTCCAGTAACCTTTCCCGAATAGGCAAGTCTGTTTTCTCTGAAATACACTTTATCACTGATTTTCATTTCCCACTTCCTGTCCCCCCAGCACCACACGCATAATCTCAAACCAGCTTCAAATGGGCTCTCCGTCGCCATCTCAGGCAAACACTGAACACCTCGGGAAACATGTCCTCTTTTGTGGAAAACTAGGAAATATTCTATTTTTCAGCCTAATTAAATATGTGGTATTAGCCCTAAAATGAAATCAGTTTTGAACTACAGTAGAATAAGAATTGACTTATTTCTACTACTTGTCTGAGGAACAATACCGTACATTACAACCAGTTTTAAAGGAATCTGTTCTTTCTTCCACATTTTAACACGAACTCAGCTGATTCCATAAATCAGAAAACTGGTAACACTGTTTAATATTTTTGATAAAGGAAAAAAGAAATGAAGTAGAGATCCAGTAGGTTAATAACAGTTTTTCAAATCTGTCTTAAGAAAGAGAAATTGGGGCCGGGCGCGGTGGCTCAAGCCTGTTATCCCAGCACTTTGGGAGGCCGAGGCGGGTGGATCACGAGGTCAAGAGGTCGAGACCATCCTGGTCAACATGGTGAAACCCTGTCTCTACAAAAAATACAAAAAATTAGCTGGGCATGGTGGCATGTGCCTGTAATCCCAGCTACTCGGGAGGCTGAGGCAGGAGAATTGCCTGAACCCAGGAGGCGGAGGTTGTGGTGAGCCGAGATCACGCCATTGCACTCCAGCCTGGGTAACAAGAGCAAAACTCCGTCTCAAAAAAAGAAAGAGAAATCAAGATTTGATGGAAGAATGAGGCTGTACCTTATGCCTAAGAATGTCCAGAACAAATCTCCTACAGCTGACCTCATGGAGTTGGTAGAGGAGAGTGTGGCCCTCTTGAGTGGTTCTGTGGTACCTTAGAGTTAGATGAGAAAGGAGAAGTTCAGTGATTTGACAGCAGTCAGTCTCAGGAAAGCCCATTGTTCAGTTCTGAAACTATATCCAGTAGGTTAGATTATGCTGTGCCTTTCGAGAGGAACAAGAATAAAGTACATTTTCTCATCGTGGCACTATTTGTACTCGGTGGTTTTCCGTTTCCAGATGATAGCAAGTTTTCAGAGGCCATCACAGTGCTGCTTTCCTGGATTGAACGAGGGGAAGTGAATCGGCGCTCTGCGAACCAGTTCTATTCCATGGTGCAGTCAGCCAACAGCCACGTCCGCCGGCTAATGAATGAAAAAGCCACGCATGAGCAGGAGATGGAGGAAGCCAAGGAGAATTTTAAAAATGCCTTAACTGGGATTCTCACTCAATGTAAGTAAAATTTTGGGGGCCATGTCTTTTGTTGTGATTTTTGCCTTTTCTTTTTCATTAATTTTATTTTTTCATTTGGGGGTAAGTAGTTCAATAATCTCCCATTTTTACTCCATATTGAATGGCAAACTTCATAACCTATTTCATGTTCTGTGGCAACTTGGAGGAACACGGACCCTGCCCTGAGAGTTTACTTCTCAAGGTGAGCAACGTTTCTGTAGCTTTTCCTTAGAACAGCAAGCCTGGCCTCCAGGGCGGGGCAGCTAGACGCATCTGTGCCTGCTGGACCCACCACAGTTCATTCATAGCTGCAGAGCTGCCACTCCCCACCCGCAGGCTGTCCACACAGACCCCCGTGTCCTCCTAGTGCAGACAGTAGGAAGCAAACGTGAACACATTTTCCTTGGGCTCTGTGTAGGAAAAGGGTACCACTAGAAAAACTCCTCGGGATCTTTTATTTGGTTGAGCTGTGGCTGTCAAAATGGGCAACTCAAGAGCAGAGATGTTTTTGTCCTTTGTTCATTTGGAAAGCAGATTGCCTTAACTACTTAATGCCAGTGATTTCTTTTTATGTCCAGATTCTAAATGATGAAGGGGTATAAATGGGGCTTTCTCTTAGAACAATAGTCAGGGTAATTACTCAGGGCTCTATTCAAAAACAAGGGCGTACATTTTTTTTATGGGCACTCTATCTGTGTCTGTAGTTAATGTCACAGCAGCATAATGCATCACAGCTGCCAACGTTCTGGGGCTTGGTAAAAGCCATCGACTGACACTGTAACAATGGCACGCTCCATTCCGTACCAGGTGCAGGGCCCTATGCAATAGTGACATATGGGTGTATATATCCATTCTGAAGATAAGTACTATTTTCTGTGCCATCATGTGCCAAAATGCCTATCACCTCTTTCATCAGTGCAAACACAAGAAATACTGTATCTGCCAGGATGGGATGGAAGAGAGGGCAAAACCGAGATCCTAAATGTAAAAGTGTCTTCTGTGACTTTATCAAAAGACAGGTTTTGCAGCTGCATAGCATGTCATATAACAAATTCTCAAATGTAAATTTTAATAAGTGATCAAGTATCCAGTATAACCAATCCGTCTTTAAAGAAAAGGAATAGGAAAAATAAGACTGCTCTGTCTTTCCACAGACTGATTCCCGACCTTGCCCAGATTCACCAGCCTTGAGGACTAGCCCTTTATTTAAGAGTGTATGTCTAGAAACTCTAAGCTTATTAGGGATAGAATACAGAGAAGTAATATTAACAGCAGTTTTTAAAGGAGGGAAGAAGAGAATGGATCAGTGGATAGAGGGAAGGTAAGAGTGAACTGGTAATAGAGAAAAATGAGAGCAAGCACAGTAAAACGATTCTAATAATACAATTTCTGCAAAGATATGGTAGGAAGTCATATGCCTGAACAGTGACATGATTACTGTATGTTTATCTTCACTCACTGGCATTAATTTTGAATAAGTTCTAATTCCCATGCAGTGTATAGTCCCAAAAGAGCCACGGGAGGCCCAACCCTTGGCTCTACCAATAGAGGTAAGAGGGCAGCCATGGGCTAGAATAGGTGAGAATTTAGTTTTCTTTGGTGGTAACTATTGAAAGAGCCACCTATTAAAATGAGGCCCCTATGATGTGGCTGAAAGAACACGACATGTCTACCTGTCATTATATAGATGTAAGTTGGCCCATATTTGAAGCACCTGAGAAGTGGACAGGAAAGTGTTGCATGTGGGACTATAAATGCTTTTTGGTATGAAAACCAAATTGGAAAATGATGTGGAGATTTACAGCAATAATAGGCTTCTGGATGCTGGAGGTTGTGTTGAGCCTCCAGCCTCAGGCAGCAGTGAAGACCCCAGCCACACTTCCTGGAGTCTACACTTTGGATGCCTAAGCAACGGAGTAGGCAGGTGCTCTCCCCGGGCGGGCTGGCTCATCACTCCCTGAGAAGGAGTGAATGAAGGGGTGGAGCAGGGCCAGCAAGGTCCCATCTTCTAGAAACCACAGGAGTGGAGTTGCCTCTTGGGCTCCTCAACTTTGAAATATCAAAAATGGAATCCTTGCTTTTAATCTTCAAACTTGTTCCTCTTCTGGTTTTTCCTTCCCATTCTAATAAATTCTCAAGCCAAAGTCTTGTACTTTTTATATCTACCATCTCCCACCACCACAACCTCCATCTAGGGCATCAAGAAGTCCCGTTGTTTCTTCCTTCAAATATATGCCCCCAATTCAGCCCACCCTTCTTCATTTTAACTGCCACCACCCAAGTCAGGCTGTGGTTGCCCGATGTGTCAGTTAGATGCGGCGTCCACATGTGAGTAACAGAAAATTCTGCCAAACAGTATCTGAAACAAGGGGAAGATTTTTCTCTTCAGACATAGTAAAATCCAGTTGCGGAGTTTGTTGGCACTGGTCCAGTGGTTCAAGGCTTCCAGGGCTGAGGTCTCTCTGGTGCATTTGCTTTTTCTGGATAGTTGTCTGTGATGGCTGCTGCTGCGCTTGCCATCATATCTTTTTCCAGGATGAAATCACGTAAGAAAAGAGGAACAAAGACATAGGAAGGAGTTGCATCATTATAGCAAGAAAGCAAAACTTGCCCAATAATCCATCCCCAGCTGACTTCCACATATGTCTCATTAGGCAGAATTATGACACCTGGCCACGCCTAACCACAGAGAATGTGAGAAATACAATTTTTGACTGAGGCTGCTGCTCTCCAGAATGAAACTGGAGTTATCATAATAAGGCAGGATGGCTACTAGGAAGAATTTTGCAGTTTTCGCAATATAGAGTGCCTCCCTTCTACTTCTCCTCTAGTTCATTTATTTTTCACACTTCATCTGATGCAAATCAGGTATGTCTTCCCCACTTACATTCCTTGAGTAGCTCCCCCTTGCATTTAGAGAATACTCACTGTCCCTAGCCAGCAGAGCTCTCTGTGCCCACCTCTTTAGCATCAGTTATCCCCACTCACCATGTATGAACTCCATTGACCCCTCCCTACCCCTCTTCAGCGGTTTCCCCCCAAATGCCTTTCCCCTCGCCTGTCTGGCCTTTACCACCCGTCTGGTTTCCCCCCCTTATGCGGCTGTCTTGTCCTTTGGAGCTTTTCGCCACCTCTTAAGTCCCCTCTTCAGTAGAGGCTTTTCGGTTCACTCTCTATCTCTCTTAGGTCTTCACCTTGTGAAGGCACGCTCTTCAGTGAGGCTATTCTTTATGTAACGGCATCTGCTCCTTGCGTATTATGTATCAGCTCATCATCTACTGCCAGTCTTAGAATCGAGAAAAGTGTGAGTGACCTTGTGGTGGATGAGTTCATGTGCCGGTGGAGAATCATGAGTACCGAGAAAGAGTAAACACGAGAGAAAATGGTGGACCCGGAAACAGTTGAGTTACAGGTGTTTCTGGTGACTGGCCCTGGGGAAACCAGAAACAGTGAGTTCTAGGTGATACCCGGCCAGCGGAAACAGTGAGTTTCAGGAGTTTTGTGACCCCGACCCGTTAGGCAGGAGTTCCTGCCCATTACAGGGAGACACAGGGCCTACAGCATGGAGCATCAGTCGTGTGACCCGAAAGCAAATTGGAGAAAAAGCTCCATAGCTATACTTTTATTGGAAATGCCACAGTTTACCACTTCTTGGTAGGGAGGCTAGGAAATATTAGGAGAGTTGGGGTGAAAGAATCATCAAGAATTTATGTTGGAGTATCTCCAATTGTAACCATCCAAGAATCTCTGTATTTACCATCTGTCTGTTACTATTTGAGAATCCCTCTTAGCCCTGTAATTTGATTCTGAGAAGCATTTCAGCAGTTGGCAGATATCAAACCGAGATTATGAAAATCCACAGTGCTAGCCGGGGGCGTTCGCATCCCCCAGCCATGGAGGCTCTGAGGGGCCTTCATTTGAGTCCTTGACAGCCAAGATCTTTCAAGATGACTTGAAGTTGCAAGTTGAGAGATACCTTAAATGTGAGCCTCAGATAGAATTAAGCCTGTGAGGCAGAACCGGAAGATTGTGTATCTCATTGAGCAGCCTAGGAACTTTCCATTCTCTTCTATGTGCCGTTACAAAAAGGGCTGCAAAAAGGAACCCAGCCTGTGAAAATCTTAGCAGTGACCTGACTAACCTGGTAGGTATGTGCACATCTCCTCACCCTTTAATCTGAATGCATCTCCTTTCCTGTCCGGAGTTTCCCTCCCTCTAGTGGAGCTGTATTTGTGTCTCAACCGCCATTCCTGCTCTCCACAGCTCTGTTCAGTGTGGCAAGTCGAGTTTGGTGTCAGGACTGTGGGGATGCTTGTAAAGCAGTAACTGCCAAAGTCCACCGTGACTGACACACTTGCTGCATTTTCCAAAAGCAGAACCAGTCACACCCCATTCGTCTGCACTAATATCCCTGGCAAACACCATAGGAATCACATTTTGGCTTCTTCCCTTGGAATGAGGTTAGAATTGTTAAGCATGAGTCTTCAGGGGTTGCGCTTCCATTTTCCTTCTCCCAGGTGGCTGGAAATTTCCTGGTTATGCCATAGCACCCCTAACTGCCCCGTCCCACATAACGGATCTCCCCAGTGTCAGTGCCGAAAGATCTCCTCAGTCCTCAGTATCGGCGACATTCTTGATGGCATTCCCTGGGAGCCCGTTCACTAAACAGCCAAGCATGTTGAGAAATTCTTGTGAGGTGGTTTGGAAGCAGGTGTATTGGCCAACTAGCTAACTAGTGGAGCAGGCCTGGTATCCCCAGCAGAGGGCTCACTCAGCAACCTCCAGGGCAGCTCAGGTACGTTGCAGGGTTCAAAGCATGTTCAAAGCACGTGGGTCCCCTTAGGGATTTTGCTGGAAATAACGAATTGGTTGAATAGGACAAGGGAGACTTCAGGTGTGACCCAGGAGCTGGATTCGATGCCCCATCTCCTTTCCATGCTCGTGTATTTGTTCTTGCTTTCATTTGGAAAGGATCCATAGGCTCAAATGTTTGGCCTAGG